GTGAATCAATGTACTTTAATCTATAGAGATAATTTCTCGTTGGTAATATATTATATATAACTCTATACTGCAACCATTTCAGATCCGTACTCTCTATGCATTTGATTGCACACTTCCCACTGTTTGTCAGTAAACTCAATGCCTAATATTTTTTCCCACTTGGAATTACACGGCAACTTAGTAAATTTTGAAATAAGCAGAGTATTGTAAAAAAAATTGCATCCCTTTCTAGAAATTTGTAATTGAATTATATTATTAGGGTAAATTGGATAGCATTGGGCGCTTGTGAATTTTCTTATATTATACTTGCTCATATATGACCTCACTGCCTGTTTAATTCCTTCATACACTAGAAATGATATATCGACAGAGTAAGTGTCAATCAACTCTTTAAGTGTATAAAATCTACCGTTTCTATGAATTATATCATTAACCAAAACTATTCCTTTTTTGAAAGTTTCATATACATGGTAGGCTTATTATCAACAATTATATCATCATTATTCCATAGACATTGTGTTTGTACTACGCTAAAATTGATAAATCCCGGGCCCGCTCCCTTAAACACAACACCCGCACATACACTCACATGGCAGCAATAATTAGTTAGTATGCCGTAATTATTACTCAACAACGTATTAATCTTATAATAACGTAGGACTCGACTACCATACAATGCATTAATGAATCAACTTTAAGACTATTCCATTAGGATTCGTAATGGCCCTTTCCGGACTGTCAATCAAACAACTGACCAATCAGAACAAGCCAGGAATACGCGCGTGTCTAACGAGAACATTTAAGGACGCATATGTTTTAACGCTGTCGTTTTGTGGGACCTTAGCAACATATTTTCGAGAAGTCGGGATTTGCAGAAAGGTCCATTGTTGAATATTGTTAAAATAAAGTAATATATACCAACCCACGAGAACATGAATGTGACAAAATATAATGTTAGGCGTAACTTTATAATATTAAATAAACATAAATTATAGAAGAAATGAGCAAAACTTACTTTTGACATGCTTTTTCTGTACAAGCCCACATTCCATCTTTTAAACAGGTACTAATTTTGGAAATTAAATATATGTTTGTAAATAAATATGCTTGGAATTATGATTCAGAACATTAGACAATGAAATTAGGAATATTTAAAATCGTTTGTAATTGAGTCCCACTGAAAAATTAAGAAGGCCTACAAAAGAATTTAATGTCAAGTATACAGGTATACCAACATTTGGGAAATCACAACGTAGGCCGGAACGATATCAACTTGGTTCCACTTACTCCGATTATTGCATTTTTATTTTATTACGTTGTGGGCGTAAAGATAAACACCTCTTTACCGAGTAGGAGTTAGCAAAGTAGGAAAGTTAGCAAGTAGGAAAGTTAGCAAATTTGCATAGGGCCTCTAATATCATAGTTTTGCTATGATTCCATAAAGTCTAATATTGGAATTTTTGGCTTACCAAGTGTTGCACGCATCTTCATGATCTCGTTGATCCTGTTCGTTGTAATTCTGTCCCTTATACAAGCAAGTGGCTAAAATATGTAGAACAATAAATAATGCGATTTAAGTAATACTTATAATACTGGTGGCGCCAGTGGATGACTCCTGCCCCTACACACAATTCGTCGGAGAGAACAAAATTATAGGCCCTCTGATTTTTTTTACCTATTGGTACACTCTAGAATCGATTGAATAAGCCTTTGAGAACCCCTTGTCAGAGTTTCCTGGGATCGTCCCCTGCACCACTTCCAAAAGATTTTGAGTGATGCCCGACTGCGCCCACTTACGCCTCCTGCCATGGACATCGCAACCATCCCCGTCGGAGACATCGGTCACCGTCGTGGAAATCATTCACACCATCTTCAAATTTGTTGAAATTATTTAGCCTATGACATCCACAAAAAATATGTTCTCAGGTGTCGTTAATATTCTTTTATAAAATGTTGGTCAATTTTAGTTTTCAATAAATTTTAACGACAATCACTTTCTTATTTCTTTCATAAATTGTTTAAATTCATAATTTTGACAGCTTTGTATGAGTATGTACGGTATAACTATACTGTATTCTTTTTTGTTCTTTTGTATGCAATAAAGAGAAATAATAATAATAATAATATCAATAAAAAGAAAAATATGGTGTATATTCACTACTTTCGCAATTCAGTTGATTCCCTTGGTCATCGAAAAATTCTGCTTTGCATTCCCCGCAGTAGTTCACTTGACACTCAGCTGTTGGATATTTGTCGCAGGTCATGACGGTGCAAGGGTCTATCACGCACGTCACCATGTCTCCTAATGGGCAGTTATGACAGTCGACAATATTGCCATTTTCGTCATAGTATTCCGCGATGCATCCGCAGTAGTTAGACGCGCAACGAGCATTCGGGTTCCTCGGACACCTAGCCACGTGACACGGGTCAAATAAGCAGGTATCTGGAGGTGTTCCGTCGGGACACAGAGCCTTTTCGACTGAAACAAATTAAATTAATGTGTCACTGAAACAGAAGCTTGGTGTCATTGTCATAAAATTTATCACCATTAACCTCTACTTCATAATTATCATTCTTACCATCATTGTCATTCGACTAATCCGCAGCATCATTGTAATCGTCATCATCGTCGACGACATCAAATATGATTACTGTATGTCTGCTAACAAAACAACCTTCACTACAATTAACCATCATCATCATTTTAGCATCACCATCAATATCAACATCTTTAGCATCACCACCAACACAGCAACAAAACAACATTATTATCAGCATTATCATCATCCTCATTTAAATGCCTTATCAACATCTTTGTCATTGGTGGCCATTATCATCATTATATTTATTATGATCATTAATCATCATTATTGGGCCTAATAATTATCATCGCCGAGGTTATCATCCTATTCGTGATAGTTATCATCATTATCAACAAAACATATTCATTCATTCATTCATTCCGGTAATCATCATTGGCATAATAAACTATGGCCATAGATACATCTTACGACCACACTAAAATCAAGGAAAATGACGATGAATAAAAAGTAATTAAAATTCGTACCAGCGATCTCACAGAATTTTCCCGTAAAACCGGGAACGCACGAACAATCGGCTGCTTTTTGGAATTCCATACAGCTTCCATAATTCTTACAAGGTGAATCAGCACAAACAGCTATTTGAAAAATAAAAAATGTCGTGGAAAAATTATACAAATAACTAAGCTGATTAGGGGGCGGGTGCTTCTGGAAAAACCAGGAAAAACACATTCATAAATAATAATTATATAATATTCAGTTCTTTGCAGACGAAGTGCTTTTGACCACGGTCGGTAAACTGTCAAATCGCTGAAGTTGGCGAGATTTTACCCCGCCTTGGGATCTAGCCCAGTCCAGAACCCAACCCCTAGGATTTAAGGGTTCAAATAAGCCTTAACCAGGGTGGGGGTCTACTGATTGAGAATAGCCAGCACAATATAAGCCTTAGCCAGTGTGGGGGCGGAGTCTTCTGGAGCAGAATGTGTAAAAACCATAAAACACACCCATAAACCGTCAAAAACGATGAAGTTGGCAAGGCTTTACCCCACCTCAGAGCTCTAGCCCAGACCCAACACCCATATTAGTAGAGCCCGAATAAGCTTTATCCTAGGGCCTCAATGTCACTATGAATGTTTAGAAAGAGTTCTCCATTCAGTGGGTGAATCCAGGATTATTATTATTATTACAAGCTTTCAGTATTAGTTTTGACTAGCAGATTAAACATTAATTTTAACTAACCTTCATCATGGAATTGACAGTCATCCCCAGATGTACCTGGAGGGCAAGTGCAGATGTAGGTATCACCATGGAAGGGGCGACAAGTTCCACCATTCAGACATGGTCTACCGCTGCATGGTGCTATCATCAGACAACGAAATTAGGAGTTATAAATATTTATTAAACATGAAATAGCATCATTGATTTCGTTACAATTACAAACATTTTTCTTAATGGAACCCTTGGTGAAGAAGGTCAATGGTACAGTATTTACAAAAGAGCACATTGACCATCTTCGGTATTAAACTGACTAGGTATACCGTACATCTCGATCAAAAAAAAATAAGTCGCCGGGCACTTACTGCGCCCGACTGTCGATGGCCAAAGCGATTCTATGGAGAACGCAACGACACGACGCACGCACAACGGATCATTTTTAAGACGATCCATTCAGACTGTCATCGACAATCAGCAGACGGTGTCACGTCGTCTAGCGCTCACAGGGAGCGGGGATGGATTTGTCGTGCGAGGGTCTTACATTACGTGAGTGTCCGGCTTAGGCCTACAGGTATGCCCCACTTTCACAAGGATGTTCATGCCTTGTTTCTTCAATGCAAAACTTACTGTATTCACAAAAGTCTCCTGTCACATCCTCAGGACAATAACAGTAACTAACGGCATATTCTTCCATCGTCACGCATGTTCCTCCGTTTCTACAAAAGTTATGATCACACGTGATATCTGTTTTCAAAAATAAAGTACATAAGATCATTTTTGTCGTTTCACGTTTCTTTGATATAGTTTCTTGATATTTTACGACTGCTTAGCAAATTTGATGATATTTTCGGACATTTCATATTTTCTGCTTTATTCATGTTAATTACCCTGAGATTAAGCCAAAAACATATGATCGCTATAAAAATAATCATTTTTTAAAAAAAATATGAATTGCACACTCTATTTTGTCAGGATAACAGGGGAGGTTTTCTGATTTCTTACAAACTGAAATAATTAATAACAATAACCACTCGTGCATAAATAATTATTCAACTCATGTAAACCTATATTAATGTATATGATAGCTTTTACATTTATTATTATATCTTATAGTATTGATATTTACAATTGTGTTTGAAATGTAAATGTTTATGTTTTGATGTGAGCGATTGTGTCCGTTACAATTTTCCAGAGGAGACAAATGAATTCTGAATCTTACCTATTGCGCATGTAGTGCCACCAAAGCCAGGAAGGCATTCACAGTAAAACGGAAGGTATGGGTAGTAGTAGCCGATATTTTCACACGTGCCACCGTTTAAACAAGGGTTACATTTGCACGGGTCCTCATCAAAAGTACTATCCTGTTTAGAGACCATTGGTGGCCAATCCGTAGTAGCCGATGAATAATACCCAGTAACCCATGACTCAGAATATTCCAAAGGACTCAATGGAAAAGTCCAATTCGAACTATATTGATCCTCTAGGAGAAACACATTAACATATTCTTTATTTTATTAATAGAATATTTTACTTTTCATTTTCATCATCATTACCACTACCATAATCATCATCACCATCCCCATCATTATCACAATCATCTTCATTATTAGCATCATCGTTGTGATTCTTGTTATGCTATATTATCATCCTCATCCAGTAACGTATCTAGGGTGGTACGCAGGAAGAAGAGGGGAGGGGTGGTAACCAAACGCACTCCAAAAAAGTCCTTGCGCCTTCATCAGTTCCATCCTTCCCTCTGAAAATATTCTAAGATAAAAAAAATACGCTCAAGTATTAAAAATAACCTCAAATCACCAACATGTGAGCTAGTGCGCCCCTCACTATCATACAGCTTCCACTACACCTTCGCACCCCCCTTAGCTGCCCCTCCCCATTTTAAGACTCCTAGAACGTCATTGTGCTCGTCATCACTATCGTCTTTACGATCATCATCATGGTCATCTACATTATTATCTCCACCAGGAGATATAAGTTTTCAGTAGTGTAAGTTTGTGGGTGTGTGTGTGTGTGTGTGTGTTTGTGTTCAAAATATCTCAAAAACGGCTGCACAGATAATTTTTTTAAAAATTAATACACGCCATACTGATAACTTTAAGTTCAAGCACTCATTTGCTAGAACTAATTGCTTTAAGTATACGGTTTTTAATCTACAGTATTTCCTAGACTTTGGGATTCTCTACCCTCTATGATAAGTATAATATGTTTCTCAACAACCTTAAACTGGTCCTATCCCACTTAAAGATACAAACAAATGACAAAAAGTAAGTAAATAAATAAGAATGTCTGTTCTGTGCTTTTTTATTTTAATTTATTAATTTTAGAGTAATTTTTTCTATTTTATGTTTCTTTTTTATTCCCGTTTCTCTTTCGGTTTGGAGAGCCACTTGACAGTATTTTAATATACTCTTGGTTATTCTGTCTTCCCGAGTTTGAAACTGTTTTGTGTGTTCAAATTAGACAAAATATATGAAATGAAATGAATTGAAAATAACGGGGAGTGTTAGGTACGCCCTAATAAAGAAATGATTACATTTTGGTGACGACACGGAGTAGGGTGTGGATGTGAGGACCAATGAAAGGGATTTAAGAACAAACACTCTACACCAGATATTTCAAAAACATTTCAACTTACCTGAATAAAAAATTCGTGAAAGTTTAATCAAGTTACAAGGAAGAAATTATTAAGTGTTGGTGACAATTTCAATTTGAGGGTCATTTAAAGTTCTAAGGTCGTGTGTCTTTGTTGTGTTCAAAATATCTCAAAGACGGCTGCAGAGATCTAAATGGAAGTTAGAGGGAGTGTTGGGGTTGTCACCAAAATTTATTCACCTCATCCTTGGGTTACACCTAACACTCCCTCTAACTTCCATTTAGAGGAAGTGTTAGGTATCACCTCATCCTTGGGTCATGAGTAGGGTGTGGATATGAGGAACATTCAAAAGAAAACTTTTCAGACAGACATTTCAAAAAATAATCAACTGATCTGAATGAAACTTTCGTGAAAGTTTACCCAAGTTACAAGGAAGAAATTATGAAGTGTTAGTGACGATCCAAATTCAGGTGTGTGCATTTTGAGGGCCATTGGTCTCAGACCTAAATATCGCTAAAATGGATCAATGGATCAAAATGACACTTTCCAGAATTGTTTGTCATGTTTTAATAAATATGTTTACCGTAGGCAGAAACAATAGCTATAATGAATATTTAAATTATTGCAATTACAGTAAAGGTGTACAACGTTTTATATGTACTAACTTCACTTTTTTTTGGAATTGATTGGGAAGATTTTTAATTCAACTTTACATTTAAACATGTGACGCTAAAAACCAAAACCCCTTATTTCTATTTGCATAAGATTTCCATTTCAACACGAATACATGGCATGTATTTTTTTGTCGACTATAAGAGTAAAACATTCCAGTATGTTAAGCCAGACGATGTAAGAAATTGGCAGGTGTACAACTGATACAATAAAAGGCGTTCGAAAAATTTTAGTAGTAAGTAATTAAATTTTAGTGTGAATGTATGGAACATTCAAAGCAAAATAAAAAACGTCCCAGATCAGAGATCTAAATGACACTTTTGTTTTAGTGTATTTTTATTTAAAGTAGATGATGGTTGGTGGTTGGAAAGTATGAACGTATTTTTTGGGATTTATTTTATAGAAAGGGATTTGCGCTGGGCGGCGATATCCTATATACTGAAGGCTCTTGCCAGCATTATTTTTGTAATTATTCTATACAACTTATGTAACTAAAGATCCTACTGTAAAAGCACTTAGTAGCAGCAACCAAACCTACTAGTACTACGGTATTAGTGGCATATCTAAGGGTGCGTGGGGAACATTCCCCCAAAAAACTCGCCACCACCCCCCCA